GTGAAGAACTATTTTCTTTTCTACAACAGCAAGTTACCTTTCACAATACTAAAATCACTATGCTTGACACAAGAATGCACGTGGGTAAGCGAAAAAGAACGTGTGAAAAAAAAACGTAGCTGGCAACCCCACATTGAAAATTCTGCAAAAAATCACCATAATGACATTATAAATTTTCAGCGTCTGCTGGTACCTACATAGACCCTAATTGGTAAAAGTGAAAGGCGTCGCCTCAGGAAGGGAAAAGAGTGGTGCAGAGACTCTGCATACCAAGTTTTCGAAAATTCCCTCAAACCAATGCTGACAAAATATGAAAAATACACTTTGAATACGCGATATTATGTGCAGGAGATCAAGGCATGAAATCTAGACACGAATCGTTGTAACCTCCATTTTTCTTCTAAAACTAAAGCTATGACAATGAACTTGACAATATTCCAGCTGTCAGAATACAAATTTTAAACCTATAGTCGATTCCTCAACAAACTTTAGTGTATCTAAGCCATGTAGTTAAATCATGCATGCAAAAAAAAAAAAAACGCTAAATAAGGACCTCACTCACAGGGTCATCCTGTAGCAGCAAGCCTTGAACAGCACCCAGAGATGATTGTGAGTCCGGACCTTCCTGTGATTGGCCGCTTTTCTGCAGGAAGAGGTCGCACCAGCCAACGAAGGAAGGATGGCAGCAAAAACTTGAGATGGTCTTTTTTGTCCCGCGTTACTTCGGGAGTGATAATCCACACAGAGCTTCGTGACCATGGATGGCTGCATGGCAACACCATGCGTCTTGCGTCGTATGTGACGTTCTGCACAGCACAAGACAAACTGTCGATAAGAGAGCAGCAAACTAGGAGGATGCTTGAACTTTGACTCCGAAGTAAAACACGATAGAGCAGCTAGGTCTCGTCAACGTCGGCATCTCAATCGCTAGCCTGGCTTGATTTGTTGGTGCACACCTCAACTGTGTCGCAAGAAAAAATGAATGAGTGTGCACGTGACTTCGTCCATTTCAAACTACACAGGAGTATGGTTTGTTGATTTTAGGTCGCGGGATCGAATCCCGGCTGCAGCGGTTGCATTTCCGATGGAGGCGGAAATGTTGTAGGCCCGTGTGGTCAGATTTGGGTGCACGTTAAAGAACCCCAGGTGGTCGAAATTTCTGGAGCCCTCCACTACGGTGTCTCTCATAATCATAGGGTGGTTTTGGGACATTAAACCCCACATATCTATCTATCTTTGTTGATTTTAAACTATACATAACGCCTGCTCCTCACAAATTGATGTAGTACCCACTATACGTCCATAAGGCTCGGTATGCTTTATTGATGCTGTTGCTGATAATCAAGTGTACCTTAGCGATTTGTATTTGGTGAGACTAAACTACCATAGGTTGCACAATCATAACACCTAATGGCATTCACACCTCCGCCACGCAATATTCGATTCATTAGAGGGTAGGATGGGGCAATAGGTCATCTTGGTGTAAACTTTATATTGCAGAAATTTTTTCATATCTTATTCTGAAAATTTTGCATGCAATAAGAAAAAAAGTCTTGTTACTGTTTCGTATTTAAGGAGCACGGACATTAAATTCACTCATGCCAAGATTTTTGCGTCAACGAGTAGCTATAGACTCCGTACCAGCGATTCGTGACGTAAAGTGCAACTGAGGAATGTATATCACTTTCATTGATTCATATCACTGGTATTTAGCACGACTCAAAACAGCCGGCAATCCCGCCATTTCAAGCGCTGGGAGCACTACCAGTGACGTGACCTCACGGCCACCTCCAGGTCGCGCCACAGCTGACCACTTCTCCACAGAAAAGAGTGGCGTCAGGCTCAGCTGCTCCGCAAACATTTCGTCTGCTAGGCGGAAACATTCAGACATGCCTTGTCACCTGCATTGTTGTCGTCGCCGTACAAAGTGTCGACTCGAGTTGAATACCCGAGTCTGGAGCTTGGAATCCCCGAGATTCACGACGTCGCGAATTATTTTTGCTTCGGTCGACCCTTTACAGAACAGCGACTTCAAAATAGATACCATTCCAAGCAGTACTGAGGAGGTGCCCAAGGATGCCATGTTCGCTCGTGTGTCTCAGTTAGCTATATTGGTGTGTTTTGGCGTGCACAGCATTCAGGCATAGGCAAAGGGGTCAATAGAATATCGCTATCGGGAAGGAGCATCAGCGAAAAAATAGAATACCTTCCCTGCTTGCCAGGTTCTTCTTTGCACCTCCAGATGGCCCCACCTATCCAGTCTGTCGCGGTTGCGGCAGCAGTAACCCAGTATTACACGGATGCAAAGAAGTCTACGGATGAACTAAAACACTATAACAATCCCTGCGTGTTACTTGCTAGCAATGGTATCTTGTCTAAATGCTGGTCCACTTTGATAGCTTGTGGTCGTGTTGGCGTGAGAAGACACCCGCATTGCGCTTTTTCCACGCTTAGAACAAGACGAGTGCAACTCACCCGCAACTCCTAACGGTTCCCTGACATGCTGATTGACATGCATACTTTTAATCATGCTCTTTTTTTTTGCTGTTCTTTTATAGGTGGTTTGCATCTTGGTGTGTTCACGAAATCATTCAAAGCGGTGCGTCGATGATCAGACGTGACGAGCGAGTGAGTATCCAGGCTTCGGCGCCATTTAGCGCCACGATAAGAACACTCGCATCGTAGACGTCATCGCTACTAGCACTTCGTCACTCGGGATGGTATGTGTGGAAAGTAGTATCAGACCGAACACGTAGCACTAGTGTCCATGTCGCAGGGCACTCCATTTTCATTAAACTCTGGTACGCTGCTTGCCGTTGAAATAAAATGACTACCACACGGTGGATTTGATTCAATTTTGGCCAAGATGATCTATGCACACCGAGCAATCACAGGAAGGGCACATCTCGATTCTGAAATTTGATGTCAGTGCTTTATTAAGCCAAATTTTATACTAGAGTGTATGTGTAAATGTGTTTTTTCTCGAAAACAAAAAAAAACTACAAATGCGAAATCTAGCATGCTCATTCCACAGGCTCACACAAATATCTGACAAGAAAAAAAATATTGTGTGCACATGTCACATGCCACAAGACAAACTTTCCAATTAATCATATTTTAAATCACATTTTACACAGTTTTCAAAAGGTTAAGTTTGACTATGTGGAATGGATTTAAGTATAAAGTGAGAAACCTTTAGCGCAATTGTTTTTCAGATAGTTTTCCAAACAAAGCACATCAAATTTGGACAATTTTCAAAAACAAGCACATGAGAAAAATGTGTCTATATGTTTTTAAACACACATGAATAGTGTTCACAACATAAAACCAATGAATACACTACAAAAGCATGGGCTTTGTAAATTTGCAATTTGCTCATGAAAATGACAGGAAATGAATATATTTAGCCAATCTAGCCATGTTTATTATAAACAATACATACAATGAGGAATTATGATAGAAAACAAGTAAACAAGGCCTAACATTTGTTATGAGGCATGGTTTCTCGCACCATTTTTAATTAGCTTTGAGTGCTCCTCCGCAATTGCGGTTGTACGATTTCTCTCTTCAGAGTGCGCATTATTCTTTAGTAATGAAATAAAAAAACGCTTTTTTGGCAATCTGCCAAAACATACTTCTTAAGGAGACTCCGTACAGCACAGAGCATTTGTACAGGGCTTTTTTTTTTTTTTTTTTTTTTTTTGAAACAGATTCACGCACCAGCATACCTCTGTAGCGGACTATCTGCTTGCCACACTGCTTGTCTTTGGTATGATTACTACACAAACAGAAAATTTTTATAACCTATTTGCACCTATCTAAATCTATTTGCTCACAATCTATAGAACTGACGCCAGGATATCTGTGAAATGAGCTCTCCAATGGTATCGTGTTTGAAATGAGATAGAATGCTACTCTGACGTAAAGGTTTTTGAGTAATCGATTCCCGAGTTAAGAGGTTAGGTTTTACATACAACGCTCCAAGTGCACAACCTTTATGGCAGAACTCAAATTGTACTCACGCAGCCATGCACCCAGGACTGCCACAACCGCCAAATGGCACGGTCTGGACAGCAGCGTCTGAGCAACGCACAGTCTCGCTAGGAATTTCGACGACGCTGTAAAAAAAGGTCAGCAGAGAAAAATGTTTTCTTTTACCGTGGAGGCAGAACATTGCGCCACTGAGCATGAGCATTGCCATTCTACAGCAGCAGTGTAGAAAGAAAATGAGGCCTCAGCCGAAGCACTTCGTCTTTCTTTATAGTGACTGCGACATCGACCTATAAGTGGCAGAAATTATTTTCAATGCACATAATCAAGAATGCAATTCATGTCTGCATCTAATACAGTAGCTAGCAGAAGACACGGGCAGACAGTACAGCTGAACGAGCAACTGCACTGCCACGTATACAAGGTACACTTGTTTCTTAATGCAGGCTCTCTTGTAACTCTAGTGAATTAAATTTCAAACATATCGGCAGCATGTCCTCCATTAGCGGTCTACACGAAATAAGTGATCACAAAATAATTCATGCAGTTTTTTTCTTTTTCCCCTGTCAAACATTATACCGATCGAAAAACAATCCGCTTATACCTTAAAGGAGGCTATGTTGCTATGAATAGCGAATTAGAAGCATTCTACGAATCATTCGTATCGGTCTTTGAAAATCGCTCGATGAAACAAAACTGGTCGCTCTTCCAAAACAAGCTGTCTAATCTTGTTACGCAACATATACCAACAGCCGTACTCTAGCCAAATCGCAACCAACCATGGTTCACCAACACGTAAAAGAAACTTGAAAACAAAAAGAAACGGTTGTTTGGCTCAGCTAAACTTCGGCCAAACCCCAACCCCTGGGATAAGCATTATGAAGCTGAACGCACCTACTTGGTCGCTATTCAACAACACAAATATTCATTTTTTGATTCAGATCTACCTCTCATGCTTAATAGCAAACCTCGAAAATTCTAGCAGGTCATCAACCCCAATTCATCCTCTGGTATCACAATTTCTAAGACTGTGAAGTTTTATCCAACATAGATTGTGCCAACGTGTTTAACTCCGGTTTCGCATCTGTTTTCACAATCGGACCGCCCATGCCTCCCCCTGCATATTCTGTTCCTGTATTGCCTTCAATGCCTGATGTAAATTTTTCACTAGTCGAAATATCTGCACTGATTGACAAACACTAATTATCCTCATCAGCCGGTGTTGATGAAGTCACTTCGAAGTTATTGAAAAACACCAAGTGCATATCTCCCATGTACCTAACTCTGCTGTTCTCGCAATCATTATCATCAGGCACCCTTCCAGACGAGTGGAAAAAGAGCAAGGTCGTTCCAGTCTACAAATCAGGTAACCGTGAATCACCATTGAACTATCGCCCCATATTCATCACTAGTATACATTGCAAAATCATGGAACACGTCATATTTTCACAGGTTATCAATGTTTTTTACAGTAATAACTTTTTCCATACGTCACAGCATGGCTTCCGTAAGAACTTATCGTGTGAAACCCAACTAGCCTCATTTCTGCACGACCTCCACTCAAACCTTGATCATAACATTGTAACAGAACTCATTTTCCTTGACTTGGCGAAAGCATTTGATTAAGTACCTCACCAAAAATTAATATTAAAACTTTCTCACTTAAACTTGCAGCCTAACGTCCTAAATTGGAGAAAAAGAAATTTCTATGTAACCGATCACAATCTGTCATTATTAACAATACTGCTTCTGAATTTCTACCAGTCACGTCAGGCATCCCCCAGGGCTCCATTTTAGGTCCGCTCTTTATTTTAATATACATAAACGATATATCAACCCATGTATCATCTAACATTCGATTGTTTGCAGACGATTGCGTCCTTTATCGATCTATCATTAACAATAACGACCGCATCTCATTGCAGGATGACATAAATAACATTAAAAACTGGTGTGATCAGTGGATGGTGGTCTTGAATACAAATAAATGTAAGTCCATGTCGATTTCTCGCAAGACGTAATGGTAATCACATTACCTTCACAATTGACGACACCAACATCGACCATGTCAACTCATATAAGTACCTAGGCATTACAATTACACATGATCTCAACTGGTGCTCCCATGCGACTAACATATCTTCGTCTGCAAACAAAACTTTAGAATTTCTCTAACGTAACTTTTGCAGTGCTCCTCAACCCATATAACTACTCGCATATAAAACAGTGGTCCGGCCTAAGCTTGAATATGCATCGCCCATATGGAATCCTCATCAGAACTACCTCAACGACGCCATAGAGTCCGTGCAGAGTCGCGGAGTTAGGTATATTCATTCATCATTCTCATACGACGTCAGTGTTTCATCTTTAGAAGCAGATTCTGGATTGGAATCTATGGCTCATCGCCGCTGTATCGCGAGCTTATCGTTACATCACAAGTTCTACAACAGTTCACTTCGTCGCGCACCTTACATTTCACCTCCTTCGCGCATTTCAGTGCGCATCGGCCATTCATATAACGTTGCTCGCCCAATCGCACGCACTGTCGCTTGCTCGTCATCATTTTTTCATCGCACAGTCAGAGACTGGAACGGCCTTCCTCACCACATCACTTTTATCGCCACCTCAACTGCCTTCACGGACACATTAACAAGATTATTTTGTGAACAGTCTCTGTAATTTTTTTTTCGTGTTTGTATTCTATACCCCACCCCTTATGTAACACCCCTGCGGGGTCTTTAAGGTAAAATGAATGAATGAACGAATATGGTCAGCTCACAACACTGGTTCAGGTGTCTCCATGGAACCACTGCTGGCTTCTTGAATTTCAGCTTCACATGCTTGCACCGAAACTTCCCTTTGTTCTTTGACTAAAGGTGGCTCTGTTACAGGACTGCAAATTTCAAAAGAAATTTTTCATGCACAGAATTAAAAGGCCCGTTCTGCGAAATAAACTGCAGAGTGACAGACAGCAAGTGCACTTTTTTTCACATGACATATGACAATATTCAACTGCTTCACAGAAATAGCTTGACAGCCAGCCCTCCCCTTTTTCACATGCATCCAAGTACTAAGGTCACTGGATACATATGTAAACACACTTCATGTGTTTGAACAATTAATCTCGCAGGTAAGGACGCATTGTAAGCTGTACTTCTATCACAAGACCGAACAAGGCTTTGATTAATCTTGCCAAAGGTAATGGTTAGACAGAATTCCTGCACATGGGATCTGAAGAGCTGCAGAGGAAATGTTTAAAATATTCGAAAAAAACAAAATGTCGCTACATTTACACTGAACCAAGCACAGTAGATAGCACCCCATCGGCTTACTTAAGAAAATTTATTTCCCCACAGAAGCGGCGGCATGACGTCTTTCCATGCAAGACAATGACCCTTAAAATAAACACTGTGTAAACATAATTGATGCGTCATTAGTGACCAGAATATTCAAAAATATTTGAAGAAGACGTCTGTCTACATTTGCCGTTTAGCTCGGTTTCAGCATTGCAATAGCAGCTGCACGTGTTGCTTCCCAAAAAACTTCCGATCGCTTCAGTTACCGCTCTTAATGTCGAAGCAAAAAGCTAGTTTTTTTTATGTTGTTGTAGAGTAAAAAAAGCTTTTTTTTTGCTTTCAGGTAAAAGGAAGGCACCTGAAGTGAAGGACTAGATTTTATAATGCTGTGTGGAGCCTAGAAGGGAATATATTTGAAATATATGGCAAATCACAGAGAGAAAAGCATCGAAAATGAGCAAGCTAAGGCTCTTTTTGATTCCCCGCCCATGCTAACTAGGCTGTGTCGGTGCACAAAACTCGAAGCCGTCCAGGACCCATGCTTGTCAACAGCCAAAAGGTCTATTTAGGGCATCATGACTCAGCAGTATGTTGGATAAAAATAGCTGACGTGAAACAATACTAACAGATTTTGCAGACAAGGGGGTGCAACACTCCGACCAGCAGTAGCCACAGCTGGATTGCACAGCGCTGAAGCCCTCCTTGAGATGACGCGTAGTTTTGCTTTGTTAGGAATTTTCTCTCCAGGTACAAGGTCCACGAAATCGTCCAGATCAGTGTCAAACATCTGGACCTGTATAAGATGCAGGATTTTATTGAAAAAGAAAGGAAGTTCTAAAGCAAAAATATGTCATGATTCACAGGACGTGGTATTACCACACATTATCATCAGTGAGCTGTCGAATCCCTTGCACTACACTTGAACCTCTCTATACATAAGACTGAAATAGTGAATTGTCAGAAATAATACAATAAATGCAAACTCCTTAGGGAAAGCTTTCTTCAACAACATTTTGATACCCAAAAAAAAAGTGCTAGTGCTGCAGCAATACCAGCTGTAGTAAAGAAACATTTGGGTTGCATGAGGTTCAAAACTCAAACAGTGGCATAAATAGTGAAATAATTATTGAAGAACAATGTCCTTGCAATATTGAAAATTTGGCCGAGAAGGTAGTCACATTCTGCTTCAAATATTGTTCCACCCCTGACAGACTCTAATATAAGAGACACTAGTGTGCATAGATAGATGCAGGGATTGATCAGGAAATGGGAATGCAATACCAGGCTTATAAGAGAACCCGTATATAAGGGACAAAAACTGCTCCATCATGTGTCTCTAATAAAGGGATTCAATTAATGGCCGGTTTCGTCACATGAACTTAGTACTGTTATTATTTCACCATACCATGTCTAAGTCTCTTTAGTCTGAAAGGCCGCAAGCAGAGAGGAAAAAGCTACATCATTCAGATTGGGCTTGAAACCGAGAATAATTCGATGTTGTATTTGGGATGTCCCCATGACACAAACTGCCAATCAGTTATTGGCATTTTGTATCGCTACTGTTACAACTACCACATATAAAAAACTTATGGCCCCCACGATATCAAGTTCGAATACTTCTACTACACTCTAATAACAGTTGCACTGTTTCGTAGGCATATTTTTGCCCCAGAACAGCCATCATCCATCTTTTGTGTCTCTTGTTGGTTTACAAATGTGTCTCTGACACATCTAGTTTTCAAACCACATGTGCACTATAAGTAAGCATGACATGAAATTCTCGATGGGAAAGTAGTGAGCAAGTAGCTTCCAGGAAAGAAAACATAAGTACTCGACATAGCAACTATTGTTTTGTAAAGCAAAGATATCTATATATAAGGAGCTGTCAGCAGCGAAGCTGAAACATGCACTTCAATAGTTTATCGCGAGCTGGGATATATCGAAGTGTCTTCTGTTATAGCCTTTGGTTTCTCTGTCGCCATTGAAGGGATGCAAGCTTCAAACATGGAGTTTGGCGATGTTAGCTTGAACATTACAAGCACCAAAAGGTTATTATTTTTTTTATGGGCAGCTGCGACTGACGCTATAATTCCTAGCTATATATTCAGATAAAACTCGAAAAGAAATTGGTGGAAGCACAGAAAATTTTCGACGTTACGCATGCTATAGCAGTTTCTGCACACTGATGGACTCGACATCGAGGAAGATCTGGGCCTAGGTCCCCAAAAACTCTGTAGGACAATGCGATGCTCATATAACCAAGCAACCAACACACTGTACGTGACTGTGCCAGCAAGCACAAGTATATCTACCTTCCCACTTGGAAAACCTTTAGCATGTGTACGCAGTTCCTGGGCTAAATTGCTGAACATGACTGCATTCCCTATTTCCATAACAACAAAACTGTTGTCACACTCGCTGGAGTAATCTTTAAAACGGGCATGGTTCACTGTACGCTTACATGGTGCCTCATTTAAAACTATAAATTGCTTGATGGACAGGCACACAGGAAGAACACAACGAAAGTGACAACTCTTAACAAGTGCGGATTAAGAATGCGGTTATTTAATTGATTTTGCTCGAGAAGCATCAGACTAGAGAACATTGACCTTGCGTCTCAGCGAAATTAAATCTCTCGAACAACTTGAAAAGGATAGGGGGGGGGGGGGGGGGGAGACAGACACAGGGCAAGAAAGTCTTGAAAAAAAAAACTACACACACACACTTGCTAAAAGTTAGCGCTAACGTTGTGTCGTTTCTGCGTCGTCACTTAAATGTACAAACGTTACGAGCAATTCAAAGAACGCGGTGTTTTTTTTAAATACACATTGTGTTTGTGGGCTCCAAGCGGTGAATTCATTTTTACGCATTCTCGACAAGGAGCGTATCGGATCGTTCAAATTAACACCCAAAAGAGGGAGTAAAATGCACATCGGCAGTGGAGGCACCATCGGCTCTTGCATACTCCCAGTTTCCAAACACAGGATGCCGTGCGGCTGCACGCATGCAGTTCACTTTAGCTCATTTTAACTGTGACAAACTACGTGTCACAACGTGCGGGTCATGCAGGGGGGTGCAAGGAAACAAAAATCTACCAGGGTGTTTCTGTGATCGACATCCACGATTCCGGTCAGTTTCTCCACCAACTCGGAGTAGGCCCCCGTAGCCAGCTTCAGCTTTCGCCGGTTGCCGCTTTGAAATATGACGAGGCAGAACACGTATCCCATTTTGGCTACAGGAACAACGCGATGGAAGCACTGCGCCAGTCACCCAACAGCGCACCAAATCAACACGTTCATACACGAGCAGCCAGCGCGGGAAAGCCAGGAAAGCAAGTAGAAATAGTGAATACTCGGTGGTCAAATCACAGAACACACTGTCAAAATGTTCAACCTATTATAGTGGCGGGGGTATGGACAAAGGGGTAGACACGGTATGCAGTGCGCGTGGAAAAAAATTTTCAATGCACTGGGGTTTAAGAACAGGGAAGGCAAAATAGACTTTAAGCGGGTAGAAATAACTACAAAAAGGTTATCTGATTGGTGGCTAAAATCAAAGCACGAGTGAAAGTTAAACTTTTTTACTGCAAGGTACCAGTCCTCAACTTCACTATTTAAAGGAAATTTTAACAAAAAAGATAAATCTACTTTTCGGTTTTCAAGTATTACGGCTAGGTAGCGTTAGCCGCCACTCAATCCAAGGAGGTTATACCAAAACTTCTGGAGTGGCGAAGGCGCTCCGCGGCTGAAGCCGACACGCCGCCATATTGCTCAGGGCAGAAAGCGCACGGGCGCATTGTGGCGTGTGGGGCTTTCGCGTTGTTTTTGTGCCTGGTATGTCGCGTGTTGTGCCTCTAATTGGACATGACTGCTCTGTAAGATGATTGTGACCATTTCTAGAGACAATGGTGAGCTTTTGCGTAGCATTTGCTTTGCTTGCACACTTTCCGTCATATAATTTCGTGATTTCAAATGCATTAGCTTGCACAGATATTTCGCTCTTCAGTGCGCGAAGAGACACTGTGAAATATTATTGTACGCTTCAGGTTTCCTAAAGAAATCACACTGCACAGTGTATGGTAGTTGGGTTTGTCGGCCTCATCATTTGCTTAAGAAGTGTCGATGCCCTTTTCGATGCATTTTTGGCCACGAAAAAATTGAAGTACCTGTTGACACACAAGAGGTCACAAGAGCATTTAAAACATTTTTCGCTTGTGTGAGGGGAAGGGAGGATACAACAACAACAATCCTAAAGCCTGTCAGTTCAGAGCCGCAAATAAGCGCCTGGTCATTCGCATAGAGGTAATGTCGTTGGACGCTGGAAACTGCAGCCGAGATATGGTGACTGTCCTAAAGTTGTCAAGTGCCGTCAGCCTTGCTGAGTCACCAACAGCAGTTACATCGCAAATAAGGTCATCACTGCAGCAACCGTTGTATGACGAGCGTGATTGCACTCATCGTGTAGACGTCCCTCACAGCTTTACAGCATTTTTGAATTCTGTCGTAGAATACATAGCGGGTTTGTGGCTCGCAAGGTGCGTGCTGTTGTTACCAGGGGCCCGCTCGCTGGATTTCGTGCCGACCGGTTGTGCCCCCACGATCTTCGACGACAGTGCCGCTCTGGCCAACTGGCTCACCTTGTGCCATCTCCTGATGCCGACAAGAGCTCTCGCTGAGTGGTGCCCCGTCCTCGGATTTCTGCGACTGTGCCCATCTTTCCTATCTTATCTTTATTTCCGGATGTCGCTGCTTCTGTGCCACACTTTCTCCTTCCTTCTTTCTATCTCTATACATTTAACTCCTATCCCTTTTATTCCCTCCTTACCCCCATCACTTGTGAGCTACTGTTGAGGTGTCCTCCCCCTGAGAGACAGTTATGGGGCTCACTTCTATCTTCTTTTCATGTAAGAATCACCTCCCCCTCCCCCAAAGTCACCAGCTGTGAGGAGTGTTGTGCTGCACTGGAATCGAGTGAACTCTCAGACTTCATAAAAGCAAAGAACCGAGGTGGACTTGTCGGTCCTCCAAAGAATGTATTGGAGATCTGCAGTATCGCAGAAAAGAAACTTAGAATTATGCAGCATCAACGCAAGAATTTCAAATTCTTGAATACAAGATCAACAAGCATTTTGGTCGACGTTATAGCAACAGTGTTTGAAAAAGCATAGTTCGTTCAGTTGGAACCTCACCTGCTGGACCTGCTGGACTCAATTGACAATCATATTTAAAGCCTAACAAAGAAAATGGCTAGCCTATACAATAAAATGAGAATTAACTACATTTACAAGGGATTGAACGAGAAATGTTGCTAAGAGAATGTGCGCACACTGCTAACTAGAGAGATCATTTTCAAAAATCCGTCAAGTGAAAAAGACATTGTTTGGCGGGTTTTGATTTCATGTAACTCGTTATTAGTGTTATTGCATATTAGTTGCGAGATTCAACATTATGTTTAGTCTCTATAATGTATCTGGCGCAGTGTGCGCGACAAGTGAATAAAAACAGTTGTTTCATGCACGTCATTTTTCACTAGTGCTCTTTTAAACATCCGCCTTGTTCTTTTTATTGCATTATATGTTACACATTACACCAGTGCTATGAACTAAAGAAAATAAAGACACACAAACGACAAATAGGATTGGAGCCCGGGTTCACTGCGTGCCAGCCCAGTATTCTACCGCTGAGCCACGCCAGGACTTTTAACTCGTTTCTAAACTGGCCTTAGGCAGGGTTGATGTTGGAAAGGAATAGCAATAGTATGAGTAATCAAGTGATTTAGAACAGCAAAAAAAATCACCAGCTTCACACAATGCAACATGCGTAATGAGCAAGCCATCCAATGCTCCAACCCATTAGAAAACTTCTTCTTTATCACCTATTATTACCTGTGGCGCATAGCCACTTCGTTTTTTTTTTTTTTGTTTGTAGCCTGTAATGCATGGCGCATACTCACTCTAGCGGATTGGCCAAGAAAACTTATAGTATCCTATGGCCGGTAACTGTGCTATTGCTTACCAAAAATTTAAAAAAGCAGAATAAGGAAAACAATATAAAGAACAACAAAAATCTGGAGAGTGAGAAAAAAGAAAATAATCACTAATATGATAACTATAACTTGATTTTGGGAGCCGACCAGACAGCCTACTTGGTCAAAACCGATTAATTTGGAACGTATGTCTCATATTTATTCACATTCTAGAAGTTACTTCCTGGCTCCTTTTCATTCTTTAGTGTTTGTTGAAGTACGCATTATTGGAATCCGTTGAGATTTCTTCAGGCATTATTCTTCATCGTCGTCAGCCACTGCATAAAAAAACTTCACAAAATTTCCAACAAGTTTGTAGCCGATACCACTCTTCTCCAATGAAAAACGAAGGATAGCATAGCGAATGCTGGCTTAATACACAAAATTTATGATTATTTTTGGCGATGTGGGTACCCAGCAATGTGCTTGTAGTATCCCAGAGAGTGTTACAAAAGGCTCTGAAAGGCCACTCTTCTAGCTTTAGCTGTGACTGTGCTTTGCGTTCCGCGCACGCCGGGCATTTCATACGCATAAAACACCAAGTGTCAAAGAGAAATTAAATGAGATGTGCACTAAAGTCCTTCTAACGTTTCCTCAAATCCTAAGAATAATAAACAGCTGCTTTAGTAGCTATAACGAAATGCATGGCCGCAAGAGAGAGAGATAGAAACTTTATTTGCGCATAACGCGGAGCATTCCAAATGATCGGGCCCCTATTCTAGGGCTCCAGTGGCCCTAGCCATCATCTCTACCCTTTGGACCAGCCAGCGCTAATCAACAATTGCCAAACTGGACAGCAGTGCCTCCCATTGTTCCTCTAAGTTATTCATGTTGTGGTGTCCTTCATTGTGATGCGTAGTACACTCCCACGTGATGTGAAACAGAGTTGGTGAGGCCCCACACCTCGGAAATGTATATCTGTATGCTGTGGAGTAGATTACATGTAACTTGTGTAAGTTCGTGTATGTGGTTGTTTGGATTCTGCGTAATGCCACCGATTCCATTGCTGTGACGTTCTTATGCGGTGCTGGATACAGTTTTCTATTGTCCCTGTAATACTGAACGGCTTCAAGAGCGCGGAGAATTATGCTGCTACAAGGCACTCGCTTCCTCCTTCTGTCCTGAGCAGTATGGCCGCCACGGCTTCACTTCGATACATGGGCGGGTATGCGGGACCACCACTCCAGAAATTTTAGTATAACCTCCTTGACTCAATCTCACGACCTACTGTATTTTACTGACCTGCTTAGCGAGCGAAGCGCCAGCACGCCCTTTCTGGTATTGGCGCCTGCCGCTATGCGCCCTGTGGCGCTGCAACTTACCTCATTCACACCAGTTGCTGGCGGCCGAAACATGGGCCGCCGCGCTTTTACAGGACCACTCACCAGGCCCCATACCGAATTTTAGTTAGACACTGTAAGTTGTTGGGTGTCCGATGAGGAACGTTTTGCCACAAAAAATTTTCGAATCGGCTCTTTACGAGCGGCGAAAACAAGTTTTTTGAAGCGGCGCGAAACGAGGGTGAGAGGAGGCGAGCTCGAAATTCTTGCCGCTCCTCCGCGCAGCCTTCGCAAGCCAAATCTCTTGCCAAATCTCTTCCCTACCCTCTCCTGCATCCGACCAAGAGGTGACATGCGCATGACGTGCCCGAACAAGCCCAGCCCCCGTGCACGCGAGCGACGTTGCTTTGTTGACCAGCATTATTTTGTGGTCTTCTGCCTGTTTCTGCGGGATTGTTTGGAAACGCTGGCTTAGACGCGGTACAGTAGATGAGCACAACAAGTGCGCGAACGCGTAGGAGCGTTCCACGGCGGTCATCTGCACAATGCGCTGACCGCGGGGACCCGAACGCATGCGAAACGCTGGCACATTAGCCCCGCATCTCGTAGCATTTCACGGGAAAAAAAAATGTAAGAAAAACGCGCACAATTTTTTTATTGCGTCTCATTATTTATTTCAAGTTTTATTCATCCCTAAAGCAACAAATACATAAACTACGCATGTTGTGTTAAATAATTTTTGCCGGGTCACGTGGCATACTGTTGACAACGTCAGAGAAGAGTCGTGCACGTAGAGGACAACGTCACTGCGTTGCTGTGTACACGGAGGAAGGAAACACGGAGGATTCCTCCGTGGCTGTGTACGTAGATCCATTCGTACGCCCACGTAATGCCCTCATTCTCTACGTGTGCGCCGGCAGAGG